CAGCCCCCAAGCGGCCCCTCCCCCAGTGCCCTTTGCTTTGTCCTCTCCCCCACCCCTGCTGTGGGTTCCCATCACTTCCTGTGTCAGTGCCTGGCCTACCCAGATTGTATCATGTGCTAGATTGGAGTGGGGAAGTGTGTCAAATCAATAAATGAATAAATTCAATAAATGCCTATAACCAGCTCTCTTGTTTCTGCTGCCTTGCTTCTCCCCTCGGATAAGGGGGAGGGTGGAAGGAAGGCAAAGGAGGAGAGAGCAGGCAGGGTAGAGGAACTGCCGGAGGCAGAGAGGTGGGGGGTGGAGGAATTTCAGCCCAGGGAGGTGGTGGAGTGTGGTGGGGGAGGGATACCTAACCCCAGCCTGAGTAGGCTGGCTGTGAGATACGGGAGGTAGTCTGGTTTGAGAAGACCCCACCCCCACTCAGTCCCTCAAAGGCTCATTGTACTAAACTTCACAGTCTTTCCTCACCCCCACCCAAGTGCTGGCCCCAGCCCTCTCCTGCTGCTCCTATCCAGCCTCAGACCCTGGGGCATACTTAAGCCTTAGTGCAGATATTGGGAGAAGAAGTCTTCCTAGAAAAAGAAGTCTTACATTAAATACCAGTAATTTCATACCTAGTATTACTGCTCTCACTTGGTCACTTTATTGAGTTAGCGATGTTTATCCCTCCTACTGAGAAAGTCTGCTCTGGTCTTAAAGAGCGGACCCCTGCGAGTGGGCCCCTCTTCATCTGATCTTCCCGTTGATTTTGACTAGAAAGGAAAGTAAGTAGATAAACAAAGAGGCCCCTTCAGGGAAGGTTTCTCCAACCTAGGGCCAAAGGAAAGACAAAAACGGTTGGAGGCAGATCTTGAGCATAGATGTTGGATTCGGAAAGAAAATTTATCCCATGGCCAGGGTGGAGAAATATTCAGTTGGCTGATGGGAAGAGTAGTGTGCTGGGACAGACCATATACGGGGAGACTTACCGGGAGGTTCACAGTGGATTCAATTGGAACGACCTTCTTGGCTTCTTGGGTTCTAAGCAGCTTCACTCGGCTTCTCTCCAGGAAGTCACATTGTGTGCGCAGGGCATCTAGGAACAAGGAAAGGGCACCTGCACCTCTGAGGCCTAGAAATCTTACCCATCCTGACCCTCCCATCATTCAAACAAAGAATCAACTGGAGCAATCTGGCCTAAGAGAAACGATGAGGTGGTGGTAGAGGAGATATACTGAGAAGGTAGCCAAGAATGGGGGAAGAGGGGAGTAACACATGCATACTCAACCTAGTTTGAGCTAAACATCCCTCCTAAAGTGGACCTGGACCCTGGACCCCCTTTCCCAGGCTCCTATGATCCTACCTGTCATGTTGGGGATCCTAGTCTCACTCTATGTTCTTCATCACACAGCTATATACAGTCCCCTCCAAGTTCTTCCTTCTCCCATCACACTCCTTACCAATTAGCTCAGGCTCTGGATTCTTCAGGAGGGGCACGAAAGCTCTGTAGGAATTCTCAAGTCTTGTCCCTGTGAACATAGTAGTTTGCTGTCCCCAACCCCTTTTGCCTGGTCTCCACTGCTCTGAAGCCCAAGATTTTAGGACCCCCAACACTAAACACTACCTTGAACTAGTTGTATCTTATTTCTTCCCCTTAGATATGGAAGAGTTATGGTGTGGACCCTAGGACAGATGAGGGGATATGGTATGTGTGAACTTAACCTATTAGTACAGAGACGGTGCCTTTCCTTTTCTTTTCTTTTTTTTTTAGACAGAGTTTCATTATGTTGCCTGGTAGAGTGCCGTGGTGTCACAGCTCACAGCAACCTCAAAGTCTTGGGCTTAAGCAATTTTCGTGTCTCAGCCTCCCAAGTAGCTGGGACCACAGGTGCCCACCACAACACCAGGCTATATTTTGGTTGTAGTTGTCATTGTTTGGCAGGCCTGGGCTGAATTGGAACCCACCAGCTCCAGTGTATGTGGCTGGGGCCTTAGCCACTGAGCTACAGGAGCCATCCCCTTTTTTTCTTTTTCTTTTTTTCTTTTCTTTTCTTTATTTTTTTTTTTATTTTTTATTTATTTATTTTTTTTTTATTTTTTTATTTTTTGAGAGAGAGAGAGTCTCATTCTGTCTCTCTAGGTAGAGTGCCCTAGCATCAGCCTACCTCACAGCAACCTCAAACTCTTGGGCTCAAGCAATCCTCCTGCCTCAGACTCCCAAATAGCTGAGACTGCAGGTGCCCACCACAATGCCTGGCTAATTTTTCTATTTTCAGTACAGGTGGGGTCACACTCCTTCTCAGTGCCTTTTCTTAAACTAACTTGAGATGGTCAATTTAGATCTAATTGAGGTGGCCCTATTTTAAAGACATGGTTCACAATTCATCTTGATTGCCTCGTTCTATCTCTGGGGAACATTCCCAAGCCACTACCTGGTGCCCCACGCTCCACCTTACAAACGTAATAGGTGCTTCGAGCTGTAAGGAATTTGCTGGCATTGTCTCCAGGGGTCTTCATCAGGAAAAGCAACTTCATTGTCCCCGTTTCATCACACAAATCGATGGTGTCTGGAGGGAGGCCACAGGGTAATTGGGGAAGCTAAGGAAAGAGAGTGGAAGCAAAAGGGGCCAGTGATCCTATACAGAATGAATTGGAGGAAGCTGTAAGGATACAAGTGAGGGACTTCCTTCTTGCCAGGAGGGGGATTTGAGGGCTAAGGATGACTCTACTACTTCTGACCCCTGGCCATTAGTCCCCTCCCCCAAACTCCTCACCTGTTTTAGGCAACCCCACTTTATTTCGGGTGTAATGTAGCAACAGGAGGACAGAGCAATTGACATTGACCAGAAACTGCTGATTATCTGAGAAGAGATGGGATGAGGCATGTGGCCTCTTCTCTAGTTGTACCACTTCTGTGATCTCCACTGCCCTCAAGCCTCTCCACCCCATACACAGGCTCCAATTCAGTGCTGCCCCTCACCTCCATGTTTGATGAAGATGAACATGCTCTCAAGATGGTCTTACTGCTCAGAGAGTACCCTGATGAGTCATGGAGAAGGAGGGTGCTTAGGAGGTCTTAGAGAACCAAGTAGGCCCATGGGGTTGGGGGAATGGAGAGTCAGATGGATCTCATAGGCTGAGGAGGCCCAGACTGGGCAGGTGGAGAGAGCTATTAGCAGTTGTGGATAACCAGCATTCCCTAGGGGTGGGGCCTGAGGCTGCAGTTGAGGGATTATGAGGTCAGAAGTGGTATATGAGGCAGAAAGTGGAGTAAGGATAAGGAGAGAAGAACTTGGGTGGAGCCTGTAACAGATTAGCTAGGCATGGGGGCAACATGGTAAATCCAACCCTAAGCTGGACAAGGGAATGAGTGCAGGACACCTGGAGATAAGTTTCCAGAACAGTACTCTTTTACCATTTCCACAGCAGGTCTACTACTTTTTGCTACCCTCAGCACAACTCCCACCCTCATTGCACCTCATGTTTCACTTTCTCCCTGACACATAATAGACAGTCTTGATGATTATCAACAGAAACTTTATTTCTCTTTAATTCAGGAACAATTGAAGAGTAAATGGAAAGAGGGATGGAGGGAGAAAACAAATGAAGGGCTAGATTGGGGGAGATGAAAAACATGTACAGGGCAAAGGGGCAATTCTCAAGTAGGTGATACTAAATAAAGGAACAGTTACACGGGGGTGGGGGGGGGCACAATATTTAGTATCAGCCACAGGGGGCAGACCCAGACTAGTTGGATAAAGGGAAGTTAGTGCCTATAGGTCCTTGGGTTTCTGTTAGGGGATCGGGGCTCAGGTTTCAGGCTTCAGGGTATAGCATGGGGGAGCCCAGTAGGGGCTATTCTGGTTGCCAGGGGAGCCCCCAGGTCCCTCCCCAAGGGTCCCTCCTTTTGAAGGAATCTCACTGACAAGGCAAAGTCGTTCACTGTAGTCTGGCTGCAGACTCTCTGCCAATCCCTTAGACACACCACTCCAGGCCTAAAGATAGATAAGTCCAGAGGTCAATTAGAGGCAGGAAATAAAAACGACTCAGGCTCTGCACCAACGGAGCCCTCATGATGTCTGCAACCACTGTGATTACAGAAGGGACGCACAGACTCTTGTGTCCCCAATACCACTGTTTCATCCACTTCATTCAATCTATAATCCTTTCTTCTGTGTGTGTCTCTCTCTGTCTAACCTACCTCCCATTTGGTTGGCCACATCCGGACAGTTAGTGCAGGCCCCCTCTCCCTCCCCTCAACCCACCTCCCACCCCTGTCTGTCTTGCTAGCAGGCAGTTGGCAGTTGACAGACTGCAGCATGCTTACAACAGGATTGATTCTCACCGAAAAGTTCCCATGGTATTCAGTAACAAGATCCTCTAGGTTCTTGAGGGTGGGAATTCGGGGCATTGTCCTTATGGAGGAGAAACAGGAAGCAGGAATACACAGGTTAAAGCTCTTTGCTTACCCTTCTCCCTGTTGTCCCATACAGAATGAAGTGATTCTGTGTTCTTTGTGCCTGTGGTTTCCTTCCATTATCTTGCCCTCTTGAGTGATCCCCCATTCCTTACCGTCCCACCTTCTATCCTGAAGACCCTAAAATAACCCTCCTCTACTATTTCCAGCCATCCCCACCTCACTTTTCTAGGCTTTCCAAAATCTCACCGTTCCAGCCAGCAATACACACAGATGAGGCAAATAATCAATCCCATGGAACCAAGGGGGATAAGCACAGCTTCCAGTGTAAACAACGAAGGATTCTCCCCACTTGGCGTTAGCCAAAAGGCTGGGAAGGGATACAACGAAGGATTTTCTATAGGAAAATAGAAAAGGAAAATGAATCTTACATCTGTAGTATCCCTACTAAGTGCCAACATTTGTAAAGTCCCAACTTGGGGCTCCATGCTAAACACATTCCCTATACTTAATCCTCACAACAACTCCTGAGGGGGAGAATTATTATCCCCTTTTTATGGGTGAAGAAACGAAGAGGTTAATGATGTGCCCAAGGCCAAAGAAGTAGTATGTGGGGCGGTGCTCATGGCTCAGTGAATAGGGTGCTGGCCCCATATACCGAAGGTGGCGGGTTCAAACCCAACCCCAGCCAAACTGCAACAACAACAAAAAAATAAGCGGGCATTAGGGCAGCGCCTGTGGCTCAAAGGAGTAGGGTGCCAGCCGCATATACTGGAGGTGGCAGGGTTCAAACCTGGCGCCAGACAAAAATGGAAAAAAAAAAATTGCCGAGTGTTGTGGTGGGTGCCTGTAGTCCCAGCTACTCGGGAGGCTGAGGCAAGAGAGGCTGTGTGACACCATGGCACTCTACCGAGGGGGATAAAACAAGACTCTGTTTCTAAAAAAAAAAAAAAGAAGAAGAAGTAGTATGTGGCAGAGCCTAGACCTGTCTGATTCCAAATCCTTCTTCACCATGCAGGATCTCTGGGAATGCTGTAGGGAAATCCTACATATTCTATATCCCACTCAGTCTTCTCAATCCACACCCCTACTGTAACAACACAACAATCCAACTCTACCCAGAAAAGCCCTGTTTTCTAGGGGTTGGGGATGAACAGGAAAGGGAGATAGATAGGGCACTAAGTTTAGGAGGCTTAGGGATGGGAGGTATAGCAAAAAACAGCAGTATTAGGAAGGCTGGCGCCTGTAGCTCAGCAGCTAGGGTGTCAGCCACATACACTAGAGCTGGCAGGTTCGAATCCAGCCCGGGCCTGCTAAACAACAATGACAACTACAACCAAAAAATAGCCAGGTGTTGTGGTGGGTGCCTGTAATCCCAGCTGAGGGAGGCTGAGGCAAGAGGCTGAGGCAAGAGAATCTCTTAAGCCCAAGAGTTTGAGGTTGCTGTGAGCTGTGTCACTACCCAGAGGGACAGCTTGAGACGCTGTCTCAAAAAAAAAAAAAAATACTGGAATCATGTTTTTAACATTTTAAAATAAAGCTTATTTAATACTAAAAAAAAAAGTTGGAGCGTTGAACTCATAGATTGGGGTCATGTACATAGTATTAGACCTATATTACCCTTTGACGTATTGCTCCCCCAGTGGATTGGATGGCTCCATTCACTCCAATGCTGAGCACTTCCACAGAGTGGGTTAAAGCGGCTCCGAACACGGAATGTGTAGAGTTTTTGCCCATCTACACTAGGTAGGGAGAAACGATGTCTGTGATCCACTGATTGTTCCTTGGGGAGAAAGAGGGTGAGGAAAAGGTAGGTGTCTATAAAAGATGACAGAATTAAAATGTACTCCTTCATTCTATTCCACCCCATGACATCTCTGATTCTTCCCAGTTCCTCCCTCCTGTCTTGACTACTCAAGCCACACTGACTTGAATCTAATGCCTCCTCTCCAGATTCACATAATGAATTCCTTTTGTTTACTTGTTTATCTGGTATCCAAAAGAGTATGGGTAGGCAATCCTCAATGAAGACTCACTGGTGAAAATAGGGAAAGGAGGCTCGGCGCCTGTGGCTCAAGCGGCTAAGGCACCAGCCACATACACCTAAAGTGGTGGGTTCAAATCCCCAGCCAGGGCCCGCCAAACAACAATGACGGCTGCAATCAAAAAATGGCCGGGCGCTGTGGCGGGCGCCTGTGGTCCCAGCTACTTGGGAGGCTGAGGCAGGAGACTCGCTTGAGCCCAGGAGTTGGAGGTTG